ACACACACACACACACAGAGACACATACAGTCTTTGGCAGGCAGGGAGCAGCCTAACAAGACTGACAGGAGTCTGAATCAATCTGCCATCATTCATGCTCAGCTGGCAGTGAATTCTTCACTGGAGGAATGGAAACTGTCCCTGGTCGACTGACCAGGAGAGAAATGCTCCAGACATTGTCCGGAGGGGCTGAATACGAGAAGACAAATGTCTCTGGAGTTTCTCCTGCCAGCCGTCTAATCTGGATAATGTCTGAATACATGTAGCACAAGATTCACCACAAGTGAGTGGGCGTGTTGATGACGTGTTCTAACACACGACGGACGCAGAACAAAAATAATATCTTACAAAGACAGATCTGAGAACTTTTGGTAACTTCATTTTCTGGAGTTCATGTATGTAAACAGCTTTGGAGGAGAACGAGGGAGAAGAGGCAGGGAGGAAGAGAAGGGAAGAAGAAGATCCACTCTTCTTCATGCAGCCAAAAGAGGGATGAGATGTAACTGAGGACGGAGAACAGACTGACAGAAAGACGCCATCTGTCCATTTTATATTATAAAGTACTGTTCAGAAAAAGGAGGAAGTTCTTGGAATAAAGTACTAAATATTTGAAATATCAGCAGGTTATTGCTTTGTTTAATTTGATTGACCCTTGATGAACGATTTGTTAATGGCTCATGTGATTTTATTAAGCTGTAGTTATGTTGTGCCTGCAGAGCTTCAGCCAGCATGAGTCCTGATCCATCACTGTGACAGATGGGCTTTAAAACATCCACTAAAAGTCCAGTTCTATCCAACATGAAGTGTATTTCCCTGTTTAGTCAGTTTTTATTCAGCTAAAAGAACAGAGGCACATTGTTTACTATCTAAACGGAGCTTCCAGATGTCCACTGCATTTCACACAGGAAATAAACCAGTAATTATGTTGTTCTCTGCAACTGATGCAGGCACCCGAGGTCAGTAATAATATTCTGGTCCCATTAATCCTGGGTTTAAACCTTCTCGTTGGCAATAACAGTCAGCGTCTGTTTCTATAATAACCTTAGATTTCATTAAAATCACATATATTCAAATGTAAAGTGCTTATGCGGCTCTTTCACACAGTACTTTAGTGAGGTCTGACGTTTATGTGTTTTATGCACAATAAAGGGAAACTCAACTGATTTTGCTCATTAAGTTCAATTTACCGCTCAACTTGTGATAAAAGTCTGGAAAAAATGAAGCTCAATTGTGTCATCGAAGTGGTCGAGCGTTTCAGAGGCTTAGCGGATCTGAGGAAAAATCCAGTCAAGTTGCATTATGGGACATCCTGTATATTCAGAGCTTGAGCTGTGGTAGGAACTAAAACACAGCTTTATTGTTTCTTTAAAAAAAATGTGTCTCTCCTCTTTATGGAAAACTAAATTGCCATTTAGATCCGATGCAACATATACGTGTGTCTACTGCTTCTCCCCTTTAGAAACAGATGAAACGTGCAGGTTTTATATGATGTGACTGAAGCAATACATCGTGTTTCACTGAAATACTTGCAGGAAAGGCAGAATGCATTATGGGAAATGTTGTTTCTTTGTTAGTGCTTAAAAAGTAGCTTAGTCTGGAAGAAATATTCATGAACTTTGGGTAAAAGGCAATAATATAAACTGAAAGTCAAATGTTTCAGCCATGAAATGTTTTTTTTTATTTGTATTTCTTGTCTCTACTTGCTTCCGAGGCTGAGAAATTAAATTACAGTGCAAACACTTCAATTGAGTCACAAGCAGGAGTCTAAGAAAATAGTGTGATGAGGACAGAAAGCTGAGGAAACGAAAGACAGAGAGAGTTATGATGTTGAGATGTACGACTGGAAGCAGGACATTACTCAGTCTCTACCTCGTCCCTCCATCCCATCCATCAACTTCCTGCTTCAACAGGAAACTCTTACGCCCTCATTTCTGCTTTTACCCGGACCAATCAATAACCTCACCAGCCGTCACATGACACTGCTGCGGCCTGGCGTGCAGCAAGTCCACTTAACTGTAATGAGCAGAAACTTTTTGACTGCATCCACTGCAGTGAGTAAGATTTATAAAGCGCAACCGTCTTCCAGGAGGCAAGATGGCTGACGTCAGTTGCATGGTTCACTTCCTGCACTGATTTAAAAAAGAAAAAAGGCTGAGCCCCGTGGAGGAGTTTATATATAAATATATTGAACCTAATCCAAGTCTACAACAGCCATAAAGGTCAGTTTTTGTTCTGCTTGGTTTCTTTTTATTTGAGGACCTGCAGGTTTCAGAGGTTGTGTAAATGAGCAGAGCCGGTCTGCCCCCCCCCACCCCCCCGATTACTGACTACAAAGGGTCAATACATTGATTTATTGAGGGCCAATCAAAACAGGATCCCGAGGGCAAGTGGCCACAGAAAGGTTAAGTCCTGGAGAGTCAGACTAATGCAAAAATAAATGAGAAGAAAAGAAGGTGACACATGTGAACACAGGAAACGCTTTCATTATTCCATCCTCTTTTCTTATTGCTCAGTTTATCTTAAAGGTTTTTCCATGAAAACAGATTTCTGTTCTTGGTGTGACATTTCCTCGCTGCAGGATTAATAACAAACATTTTACCTAAACATGAAAAAACGAGGTACTGAGGTTGTGCAGCTGAATGCATCTTTCATCTTTTTCATAATTGATAGTAAAATGTGATCAAAAACAAAAGTTATGGTGGAGTGAGCACACACACACACACACACACACACACAAATACATGCACACGTATTTCATGCAGCTGCTAAGCAATGTTGCTGTAGGCAAACACACACAGACACACACAGACACACACACACAAGCAAGCAGTAGTGGTGTAGTAAGTGCTGACCTGGTGTTATCAGAGTCGATGGTGTGAAACAGCTTCTCCAGCTCCTCCTCGTTCAGCGTACCGTCAGAGAAGAAAGCCTGGAACTCGTCCAGAGACAGTTTACCATCATCTGCAGAGACACACACACACACACACACACACACACACACACACACACACACACAGAGTTGAATCATGTGTTCAATATCACAGAATTATAAGTTTTAATATTACATGGGTTTATTATTGGGGAACTGTCAGTTTAAGGTATCGTGTAAATGCCTTCACCTGCTCAACCCCCACCTGAATTACACCCAATAATATATTCATTGTGCTCAATGTCTTCTCCAACAAACATTTGTTGAAATCTTCAAAGTCATTGATAAAGTCCAAGTCTGTGGATTTTAATCGTTTCTATGTTGTTCATTCTGTCAAATTAAAGAATATTGGAGCGTAACTGGAAGCACTGATCTCTGTGAAAGTCTCACATCGGCTGATTTTTATACCTGTTTGCTGTTCCATGTTCCCACTCTCACAAAAAGCACACACACACACACACACACACACACACACACGCTCCATGTGAACTCTGCCTGCAGTGTTTTCTCAATCTGCTGTGAAATCAATCCGGCATGTGCTCGATGTTTCTCCAACACTTCATCCCTGCTGTCGGTCTGTGTGCTTTGGTAAGAGCAGAATGCAAAATACAATTCAAAACCATCAAGTCCTTCTGGAGAAGCATTGATCACCAACAAGCTCGTGAAATGAGAATGGATCTTGTTGTGAAACCTCCAGAAAATGTATTTTCATTATTTCAATGTCACATGGACGATGTTACGAATCTGAGCCACAGTTTTCATTCGGTGGGAAAGTTACAATATGTTAATACCACTGTGGATGAAACTAGAAAGATTAAGCTGAAGGATCAATTTGACAACAACATTTTACAAGTGTAACATTTTAAATCCCCTGAATCAAACACTATCATTGTCCTTGCTCTCTGTGCCAACCGTGCAGCGTCTCCTCCTCTACTGTCCGTGTTATGTCACCTTGCCGTGATAGAGAAAAGAGCGTAACTAATCAGTGCCTCCTGAAAAGATCAATCACAATTTCTTCTGATTGAAGACTTTGTTCCCAGAGTGCTTCACTCTCTTGATGGGATTGTTTTTCAATTATGCACGTTCAACCTTAATCCTTGTTCCAAACAGAAAAAATGTGGGACGTATAACACTATTTAATGCTCCCTTTAAAACGGTTTCACTCATCTACAGTTCAGTGTTATGAGCTTGATATTGCACAACATGAAAGTGACGTAAACTCAAGATAAACAAAATTGCTCAAACTAGCTTCAGAATGACACAAACCGAAGAGAAGCCTTTTGCTGACGTCTGTTCAGGTCTGAGGAGATTCTCCTGTTGCCACGCCTACAACATGTCAGGGTGTACTAACACGAGAATATACATGGACATCCCTGTGGGGAAGTTAAAACACTGCAGGGCAGAAAGAAAACTGCATTTTCACGGTGTGTTACTGACAAAACCGGGGAAATTCTTTACTTCTCCAGGCCTTCATGGTGGATATGCTTCTGGGTCTCATGAGGGGCAATTATAAGCTCTTTTATGGAGCCTCTGTGAACAATGTACTTACACTACAAAAAATGCGGGGCTCTATTTTTCATAGTACAGGACTTGTATTCATATTGGATATTTCTGCAGCACATAAAGTACTGTACATCAGACGTCAGAGTGTAAGACTGTGGTGGTCTCATTCTTTTCCAGTCATAATGTTTTTACATTATTAGATCATTCAGGAGCATAAAGACCTCAGGACGATCACATGTGTGTGCACCCAACTACATATACTGCAGATTTTCTTTTAACAAATTTACCGGCGACGTCTCTTCTTGCTGAGATCCAGTGTGAGCTTTTCTGTGGCGCCTCCACAGAGGGGTGGTTATTCGCGGCTTTGAGAAAACCCTGTATCTGCTTGCCTGAACTGTATGCCTGAGTGTCTATCTCACCACATGATGCAGAGCTAGATATCAAATATTAATTTCCTTGCCCTCAAAGTGTGGTTGTCCTTGAGCGCGGCTGACTGGATGCAGCAGGTTGAGCTATGGGACCACTGCAGAGGAAACCACAGGAGGACTGCAGCTTTACAGAAAGGCTGAATTCAAATGTGCTGCTCTATTCTTTCCCTCTCCCGACTCCATGTCGCAGGATTAGAGAAGAATACGTGTATGCATTTCTCATTTCAACCCAAAGAATTATAATTTCTTTTTCAGTTGTTTTCTGGCGACATATCGAGAGCAAGCTGCAATTTCTGGTTGGGTTTGAGTTGTGACCCCTCAGGAGAAAAGATGTCGCATGATTTTGGATACATGATTCGAAAAACTCCTAAGAATTCCAGAAGAAAGTTCCAGTCGCATATTTGCATAACCCATCTCCTACTTTCACGGTTCAAATCCCAGCCAGGGTCTTTCTGTGTTTTTATGCTCTCCCTGCGTCTGCATGTATATGATCTGAGCTGAACAGTTTCCTCCCACAGTCCAAACACTGGAAGATTAAGTTAAATGAAGACTGTACATTGTCTGTAGGTGTTGACCTGAGCGTGACTGGTTGTTTTGTCTGTGTACATCGACCCTGTGATACGCTGCCGACGTGTCCAGGATGAACCGTCTCATCCACTGTCAGCAGGAATCCCCTCCAGCCCCCGAGCAGCTCTAAAAAGATCAGCTGTGTGGATAATGGATGGACGGATCTCCTGCTTCCTCTAAAACCTCACTTCAGTATCAGGTTGTTAAGTTTTATTTGTTGAGATCCTTTTCACTTCCCCATCAATAAATGAAGTTGACTGAAAAAAAAAAAGGAAAACAAGCCTGTAGTCCTCGCAGGACTGAAATAAACAAGACCAATCATTTCATTCAGACTGAAAACCTGTCTGTCTTCACGAGCAGGAGAGACGATAGCCAGACGTTAGCGAGCGAGTCATAGAAGTCGTCTTCAAGCAGTTGTCAGTCAGTGCACGTCTTTTGGAGGTGTAGGTTTGACACAGGGGCAAAGTGAAGTATTTTCTAAGTGAAGCCTTCTCTTGTTAGCTTTTCCACGATTATCACCCCTAGCTTTAAGTATATTATATCATTCCTCCCTCCCTATTAGTCCCTTTGTATACTCTATCCCTCCTCTCTTCAGGCTCCTCATGAGAGAAACACAAAGCAGTATCAGGCTGTCAGATGTTGTGCCGTGTTGATTTCTGCTGCACACAAAGACAAGCCGTCATTACCGACTTTCTCTTGGAGAAGGTTGGCATAACCTTTCCATGACAGAAGGCATGTTTGTTTGCGGCTGGCTTCTGAAATGCCACTTCTTGCCTTCGCAGCGGCAGTCGGTCGTATTGTCCCCGTCCGCCCAGGCTCGACTGTTTATTCAGACTCTGTGGCCAAGACTATTTCCAACCTGTCCCTCTCTGGTGCAGCAGCAGAGCAGCGCTGAGAGCAGAGGCAGTGGTGTTTAATTCAGCGGTGACCCAATTTACTGCACGCTGCCAGCTAGCCCGGTTAGACTCACTTAGGAAATCTCCAGTAACACACACACACACACAGACACACACACACTCAGCCAAAGCAGATAGTGAGCTACCCCCATTTCCTAAAGCATAAAACACACACACATATGTCTAACAAAAAAACTACAGCTTCTCTTATTCCTGCTCCACGTTGCGCAGTGTGTTTTTTATTTAACGATGCCCTCTCACACAAACTGAATGTTATATATAAAGTGATATTTCTCTTTTTAAATTCACCCCGCTGCACGGTCATGGTCGAATACACGACTGCATCCACTGAACAGTTAAGCTGATTCCCATCATCTGAGTCCTGTAGCCATCAATTCAACCTGAAACTCATGGAAGAAAACCCCAATGTAAATAATTTACCACGACCACTCTCTCCCCACTGGGCTCTAAAGTTGGCAACAAAGGAGGTGATGCAACATCCACCAGCCTCCTGTCTCCTCCAATGGAAACACTGAAGATTGGCTCTATTTGCTGAAATTATGGTTATTTTACCGTCCGAAATTACTTTTGGAGGGAAATCATTTCGATACAAAGGGAACTCACAGTGGAAGATGACTGCAACAAGAGAGACGGTTTTTGAGTTCTGCTCCAGAATGAAATGATTTCAGATAGACGGATACAGACAGACGGACAGATCATAATGTACCATGTCTCTGCATAATAAGTACTTTAAGTTTTGAGACTTTGTGCTCGTATATCTTATGGTACTTCTTGTACTCGAGTAAAGTTTTGAATGCATGGGTCTTTCTTCTTTCTTTCGTTTGGATTAAAGATTTAAAATCTGTTATAAACTTTAAAGAGAACTTGTGTTAATAGTGCTGGTGTAGGATTTTACTACAGGAGCCTTAACTGAGACTATTCTGAACTTCTTTATGTCCAGTCTGTGAAAGAGTTGTGAATTCCACTGACTGGTCTATGAGAGTATTGGAGTGTTGTGCTACAGGTCTCTCCCTTTTTCTGACAGATATTTAGAAATTGGATAATATGAGAAATTATTCTGTCCTACCTTTAATGGGATAGTGTGATCATATGTGTCAACTCCTTCAGAGGGATGAGACCACGACTTTCCACGACTCTGCAGCCACTTTGGCAACGTCTCCGATGAGTTATTTCTGGCTAATAACTCCAGACTTCTAGCATCTGCTTCTCTACAACATGGACACATTATGGTTTTACAGCTGCTGGACGCTGGAATTCTTCACACTCACACAAAGCCAACAAAGCTGTTTCCAGTCCGCTGAGTTCAACTTACTGGCACTGGCTTCATATTTATCGTGTGAAGATGAGAGCGGCGCTTATCTTCTAGTCTAACTCTTGGAGAGTAAGTGACCAAAGTGACTTCAGTGCACCAAGTCCAAAACCTTTGCAAATCTGTGTCACAGTTCTCTCGGATCTGGTGGAGGATTGAAATCTGATGGATGAATAATGAATACATTAAATTACAATTACTACATATGTCTCAGAGCAGTTGATTAAGAATTGTTTGGATAAGGACAAAAACAAATCCTCACATTGTCCAGAACAAATGAAATTGACATTTTCAAACCTCTCTTCATT